AGGATTTAGGATAGAGGTGTTCCCTGTCCTGCGCCCGCTCCTCCCCTTCCTACCTTTCTCCCTCCCTTCCTGCCTCCCTCCCTCCCTCCCTCCCTCCCTCCCTCCCTCCCTCCCTCTCTCACATGCATGCAGGCATGCTTGACACAAGCTGTCACCATCTTTCGCCAGGCTGCTGCCAGCAGCTGCTTCATCACCTCGACCTGCCTGCGCAGGTGCTTGCATTCAGCTTCGGCAGCTTCGGCGAGGGAACCACCACCTCCGATGCATTGTGAGCTGGCAGAATCTCGACCGAGATGAAGCAAGATTGCCATGTCTGCCTGATGACTGATATCCGCCCTGTGCGGCCAACTGCGAACGCATTTCTTCGATCTCTTGGGTCTGTTTGTTCAGCTTGTCCTTCAAGGTCCTTGGCATTAATGAAAGACGCACGGATTCTGACAGTAGCATTCAACAAAAAGGCATACGAATGAACTGGAAACAAAGAGACTGTCGGTTCAAAAACAGCTCTCTGCGGTTTCAACATCCATCACCGGCTCCTGATGGTTTGTGCTAGCCCAAAGGGAATGAGAACGGCCCATAGATTGTGGCGATTTCTGAACACCTTGTGCCCAACAGCCATTCAAACAGTTTGGGAGGCCGAGTATGGCCGAGTGTTTGGATGGACGTGAAAAAACTGGCGAATGCAGCGACAAGAACCGCTCCCTCCCGGGACTTGCTGGATCAAATTCGTCCTTCTCGACAGAGATTTCAGCGATGTATAAAGATGTGCAGACAACTTCGACCTGCTCCCGGCTGAGGCTGCACCCAGACTGAAGAGCTGAAGACCTTTTCCTAAATGATTTCACCTGAGGGTCTTATTCTGCTGCTCCACCTGGGCCAGCCGTGAAGCCAGGGTTGCAACCAGATCGTCGTTCGATCGCTGTCGCGCCCCAGCCTCCGTGAAACGAAGCGAGGTACTGCAGTACACAGGAGGGCGTGCTGCACCTCTCGCCCAACTGCTGCCACACCGGCTGCCTGCAGTCTCGGCAATGGAGGCCGCGAGCCTTGTACTGTAGCGTGTAGCCAGAGAAGAGCAAAAGGAAGAGAAGAGCAAAAAGATAGTAGCAGCAGATAGTGAAGAAGAGCAGTTGTCACCTCCTCGAGAAGGCGCCGACTTCGGAGCTTTGAGCTCCTGCGGCGATCTCGGCGGGCGCTCCTCGAAAAGACTGCGACTTGGTGTGAAGCTATGGGCTTAGGGCCTGAAGCACACTGCTTAGCTGCTTCTCCTCCAAGAGGGCTGCAACAAGGGAGTGCTGTATGTCTGGCTCCAGCCCTTCTGGAGATCCTGCCACGCAAACGAGATCTTGCTCGAGACTCGCGGTGCTGAAGTGCCACAACGGCGCCTGATTGCACGAAGCGGGCAACCTGGCCCTGTAGGGCAGCCATCGGTTGCCATGTCGATGTGGCAATATGTGATGGCTTTGATTTCTCCACACTTCCCTGAGTGAAAAAGTCTGCTAAGAGTTTCGAACTGGATAGCTTAATAACCATGGGTGCAGAGCTAAGCATGTCAAACGGCCGCCAAGTTCCAAATTTTGCCACATCATGCTGCAAAGCGTGTGAAGTGAACTTTGTCCAACTAATTGCATCGACCCACGGAAGCCGGTACATGCAGAACACAGATTTGTTTATTCTTGGCTCTCGTGGCGAGACAACGCGACCTATCTCATTCTGACAGGAAATAGACTTGCGCGATCCCGACCTCGGCTCGACAACATGTCCACATTGCCAGGATCCGTCGCGAAGCCCAGCCAAGAACAATTTAGGGCCACGGCAATGGCACCAAGGACGCCCCCGAGTAAAATCAATATCCACCTCAAGCTTTGTTACAGGCTTTGTTGCACTGTCTCGCCGGTGCCTATGCCTGCAAAGCCTTTCTCCTTGAGTTGCGCTTAAAATGACTTCTGCAGGATGGAACGTAGAAACGCAACTCGTGCATCTACGTGCGTTGCCCCCCTGAGCTGCTCAATCGGGTCCATGGTGGTCCGTCGCTGCTTGATCTTATAACTTATAAGGGACATCTGTCAGCATGAGGTAGTACCTGGAATATGTCGTCAATGAGGGATCGGCGAGATACAGATAAATAAAACTGCAATAAAACAAGAGAAGTCGTGGTCACAAATGTAGCCGTCGCGATTCATACAGATACAGAGATGTGGCTATGGATGTCTCATAGAAGTAGAAACTGACACGAAGAAATTCATGTACTACGAAAAGACAGAGTCATCAAGATATGGTTCCAAACACGCTCACAGACATGCAAGCAGATATGGTTACAAACGTGCATACTGGGTATACACGTTAGACAAATGGATCGAAAGACACATCGATGGTTGGGCCGTTTCGCTGGTCTAGTAGGTTATGGCTGCATGGTGCACAAGCACCTCTCAGCACCACAACCGGCAAGGTTTCGGCACGAGCAAGAGCGACACTCACATGTAACCTACAACTGGTGACAACCCCTTCAGGCCATGCTCATGCAGTGTGCTTCAGCACCAGAGTAGCCGGCATAATCTCACCAACTTCACAAGGGAAAATGACTGGAGCCAGAAGTGTCAGCAATCCCGGGCAATCACCCACAAGCCCCAGCGCGACACAGGCTCCCGGCTCATCTTCTTGGAAGACAGGGTGCAGGAGACGCTCAAACTCATCTGGTGGCCTCACAAGTCCGTGATCTTCTGCCGCACCAAGCTGACCAAAGTTCCAGGGCTAGGGGGGTAGGAGTCCAACATCTTCTGCATGGCCACAGCATTCGACCTGCAGAATGCGAGGGGTAAGCGGGCATCGCAACGGCAATCAGCATCCGCTGCACGCCTAAAGACATCGGTTGCCACGGCCAGGTATTGCGAGGCCTTGGTCGAGTCGTGCACAGCCAGCCTCTGGCGTCCCCAAGTCACACTGAGCACAGCACCGCCTGCTGCAACTCATCGTTCTCTGCAATCCGTTGTGCGGAAGCCTTGGGTACGAAGTGATCACTCAAAACCAGTGTAAACATGCTGCACTCAAGACTCGTTCAGGCCTTGTACCAATAAACCTCGCCCGTCTAGGAAGATGCTCGGCTTCACGTCGTGCTGTTGAACAGATGGACACAACCAACCCTGCTGCCTCTTTGTGCGAACTGCTACATCTGTCATCGAGGATCTCTACCAGCAACGCGGTAAACCTCCAAAGCTGCACTTCAAAGAGCTTGTATCAAACAAGCTCACACAACTCTGAACTCGATTCAACTGGTTGAGTTGGCGTTGTAGCTGGTTGAAGTGGTGCTGCTGCATCCTCGAAGTCGAAACCGACGCTGCAACTTGCGAGTAGGGACGTGTCGTTCACGGGCACCCGCCGTTAGATCGCTGCAGCAAAGCTAAGGGCCGGGTGGCAAGGGCAAACAAAAAGTCGTTCCAAATGTGGGCTTTTTTGTATCGCTGAAATGGATGAAGGATCAAAAAAACAAAATAGTGATCAGAAAAATCAAAGTCTAGAATCACAAAAGAATTCTAATTTGACGTTTAAAAAAAACAAAAACATCAGATTTACTCGAGGCTATACACAAGACTACCTATTTCCCGATCAACATAAAATCAAAAAGGTGGTCAAAAAAACAGGAACAGATCAAGGTTTTGTGCCGTCCAACCAGCGTCGCAGCACGGTGGGGCGTTGATGTTTGGGGAATCTTGTTAATTTGGAGGGGCAGGGGATTGGGGGAGATAGACACGGTGCCAGCAACGGGCTGGTTGGGGTCGTAGTAGTAGTGGCCATAGCAGTATGCGTAATCCATAGTAACTGCAATAGCTAGTAATAATAACGGCAAGGGGTACTAGTAACAATGAATGCAAAAAATCACAATAACTGTGTTTGAGATACTGATCGAAATCGGAACAAGAATGAGAATGCAAACAACAACGACAAGCAACAATAGTAGTAAGTAACCGCATTAGGAGTAATATTTGTTGTCATAGTCATAGTAATGGTCACAGTGATGGTAGTAAAACCGATAGTCAAAGCAACAGCAGTAGCAATAGCAGTCGCATTCGCAATCGTAATAACAACCACAATAGAAATCAGTAACCGTGATACTGAGCAGTAGCAATAGTAATTGTGATTGTAATTGCTATAGTACATAGTAAATAGTAGAAAAAAGAAGCACTAATGTTCAATACTAATAGTGTTATTGCTATCAGTATAATCCTCATCATAACAAAAGTATATAACAGCATCAGTAATCGAAGTAATCGTAGCTACTGATGAGCGTTTCCATCGCGGCTCTAATAGGCCATACGACAAGTAACGCGATCATGCTGGTATTAAAGGTCGTGATACATACAAAAGTGCCAGTGACAGCAAGTAACAGTAACAGCAACAGGAACAGTGAACCCACGAGCTGTTCTGAACACAAAAACCAGAGAACATGACGTTCATGCTATTCTGCTGTTGACTGGCTACTGCCATAACATCTGCTGCCATGGCTGCTTTGTGACAAGACCCAGAAGACATACCATCATGTGCAGCAGGTTCTTGAACAGAGCACGGGAAACTGGTAGGACATGTATTGTAATGCAATGAAATGTAAGTATGTCTGTAGGTCTATATTTATGTTCCCTTCTTCCTTTTTCCCTTTTCCTTCCGATCGTCCGGCTTTTGTCGTCATTATTTCCTCTCTAGTTTGTGAGTGTTCATGGGCTGCAAATACTGAAAGTTACAGCATTTCAGGGTGTTGATAATTGTTGACCCCCGTTTGATTGTTGATCCGTTGTGGCCTTTTTGATGCCTATCCCGTTGGGCTGAGTTCCCGGAGAGACGCAAGAGCCCGGTGCCCAAATCTTCTTCGTTCGGGCTTTCTCGACAGTCGAGCGTCGGGGGCGTCTTGAAGAACCCTTGTGGCAAGCTCTGTGGCTCCGCTTTGGATTTAGAAGACTTTCGCCGGAGGACTGCCCTTTTCGTGTACTGCATCTTGGCGGATAAGACATCAGTTGGTTCTTGGCGATGGCCGTCCAGAACTTGTTCGCTTGAACAGGTCTCAAAGTTTACCAGACAAACGATTGAATTGCACTTGCAACAATCAGGCTGAGCGCATCTTACGTCACCTGCACTGCCTCACAAAAGTACCATGGGTCAAACTTCCGGACATCTCAGAGCAGGCATGTCTGAGTTTCGAACACCAACCAAGTCATCCTGCCCAAGGCAGCTGGGGCAAATGGCTTCGACTCTGAAGCTGGACGGTTGAGAGAGGGAAGACAACAGATGTCAAGGAGCCATCTACTCATGGAGTCACAACAGTCTCTTAAGTAGTGTAGTCATGCACGAAACAAACATGGAAATCTGGTGTGCTTTCCTCACTCTGCTGCGTACAATCTGTCCATTGGCTGTGGATTCAACATTGTTCCTGCTTGTTGTGCACCCAGGTGCAGTACACGGGGACGTCGTACCTAAGTTTGGCCAGGTGGTACTGATCTATGTTTCATAGTTGATTCGGCACTTATTTAGATTCCCTCGGCCCGAAATGTGTGTGACCGCGATGTCTCTGTTGCGTGAAGCTGTTGCAGAATTGCTATTTGCAGGATCTCAGCCGCGTCAAGCTATTGCGGAACTCCTATCTGCAGGGTTTTGCGTTGCATCAATCTAGTAGCTAGTACGAAATCCCATTTTGCGGGTTTGGGGTGTAAAGGCTGCAGCATTCAGAGAACGAATGGACGAACGAACGAATGAAGGAATGAATGAGCGAAGGAAGGAAGATATGAACGAATTAACGAATTAATAATGAGGAAGGAAACAAGGAAGGAATAATCTATCCACGCGGCAATTTTGACGATGACTGGATAGCTCCACCCCGAAGCCCCACCGAGCCCTGGATGAGCCAGAATATGCTTTGCTTTTGGTGGATCACAGTCTCCAATTCGGCTTTACAATTTGTGCATTAGTTGCTCGAACTTCGTAAGGGCTTTCTCTGGTTTCTTGAGATGGTTTGATCGGGGCTTAAGGCCCTTGATTCCAAGGTGCCGTTACGGTTCTGGGTTTGCCGAGTTCGCTGAGCTGCTACTGCTGCTTAAGGTACTTGGTTCAAGGTTTCGTTGAAGTTTTCGGTCTGCCGTGCTCGCTGAAGACTACTGCTACTGGTACTGCTACTACTACGACTACTTCGACTACTACGACTACGACAACTACCACTACTCACCCCTACCCCTCTTCCTCCTACCGGTAGTGCTTTCAGTACCTACAATTGCTGCTACTGCTACTGCTAATACGACTAATAATAAGAAGACGAAGTACAACTACTACGACGACGACTACTACTACGACGAGGACAACGAGCAATAGAAAGTGTGAAAATGTTCCTAACAAACAATCATATCAGTCGTCGTCGTAGTGTTGGTAGCAGCAACGGTCAACCCAAAGTATTGGTGGTGATACCAGCATCAATAGGAATTGACACGAGCAGTAACCAATAGCAACGATAGTAGTAACTGTAGTAACAGCAACAAGAGTACTGCTGTCAAGAGTATTCATATGAATAAGGTAACAGTAGTGGTAGTAGAGAAAACCGTCGAAAGTGAGTAGTGATTGCAATGTCATTGCTTTTCGACCTCCCACGAGGGCTGTGCCACAGGATGCCGTGGCACTGCCAGTGGTTCAGGAAGGCTTGACGATGTGCATGGTTTAGGGTGAAGTGTCGGTTGAGGTCAAGCACACTTGTGTAGAGACTTGGGTATTCGCTCCAATACCAGAACAACCATTAAGACAAAAAATGATTCCAGTTCTGTCGTTTGCTCGCTTGCTCTTTCTTTACTATCTTATTGCTTGCGTGCGTTCTGCTACGTATTTTGTTCTTTCTTCGGTTCCTTCAGTTGTATCCTAAGTTCCTTCTTTCTGTCTTCCTGTCTTCGTTCTTTCTTCGTCTTTCTTAGTGTCCTGCATGCCATCATAATTTATTTCCTTCTATCCTGCTTTCTTTATGCTGTTACTGTATTTCATCTGTCCTTCCTGCTTTCCTTCTTTCCTTTCCTTTCTTTCTTTAGCAAGGGTAAAAAGAGGGGGTGCTCCTCCCACCCCTGATGCTTTCCTTCTTCTACTCTTTCTCTCTCTGAAACAGGATTCCCCCCCTTGCAAACAGCAATTCCCCAGGAGCAGGCAGCTGCCAGGCTCCTGCCAGGCCCTACAAGCCCAAAGAAACCGCTAAACAGTCCCAGGCCCCCCATTCTTGGCCCGTCAGCCTGCACTGCTTGCAGCTTGTGAGAGCCAATCGCGACAGGAGCCTCAGAAAATTCTCTGCGAACTCCAATGAAGTCTGCGGTCGGATCCACCGGAAGTACCCATGCTCGGGAAAGCCCTCCAACAGGATGTGTGAAGGTCGAGGCCCGTTTGTGTCTAGTAGGTCCTTTCGTGCACAGCCATCCGGCATGTCGGGCCCTTACGGAAAGTCTCGCTCCTCGCACCTGTTCTGCCTGGCTGTTGAGGATGTCCGACAAGGCATCTTCGGACGGCAGCTTCGCCGGTCAAAGTGTGCTTCATGTTGCAATCGGGATTCCAGGTGACGCAAGACACATCCCAATGCTTGCAATGTTGCCTCGCTGCTGCTCTTCAATGCTTTATGCTCTGTTTGATTGTGTGACCTGTCATGAAACACGTTACGTAGTCTGAAGCTTTTTATTCGGACCGCTGCCCTGTTTCTGGGACTCCTGAGAGCAATGATTCAGCGATGTTTTCTTCAAGGTTGCACTGCTTGCTATTGTTCTACTACCCTGCTTCGTCTTCATCTTTCTACTTTGTTTGTAAGTGACCGGCAATCCATGTGCCCGCTTTGCCCATGGTCTGCTTCATCATGTTCTGGATGTTCTGGTTGTAGATGTCCTGCACGGTGGGTGAGTGTAAAGAACATTCTCCATACTCTGCCTAGTATGTTTGAACCATGTCGTCCCTTCCGCAAAGGGCGCTTTCTATCCGTCCTGCAGATCTGCCCAAACGGGGATGGTTTGCAGGTATGATATCACCTGATCCGTAAGAGCATCTGTCATGATTCATGATCACTGGAACAGATCGAGCACACGCATGCTGCCTTGTGAAAATCGAAGAAATGGTCCACCAGCAGCTTGGCATAGAGAGTTGCGACGTCCCTGATGTTGGCTGCAGCCGTGAAGCGAAGTCATAATCAGCAATTGACCTGCCTCTGTCTCTTTAAAAAAAGGCCCTGGATGCTGCCCAAGTACCACCCACACACCTGAACTTCGGACCATGTGCCATGCAGTGGTTTCAGTCTGTGTAGCAGCCAAACATCTGGACAAGGGAAAACTGTGTAGCACGTCTTTCACTGAGACATGTGCCCGAACAGGCCGTGGATGGCACGGCTTGAAACACATTTGTATTGCCAGCCTGCAGCGTCAATCAATGTGCAGTCACGAGACCACACAATGAAAGGGCTCAATTCAGCTTACGTCCGACAAGCTGTTTTCTCCGAGCAACCAGTTGGTGAATATTCCCAGGAAGAAACCTGTTCCTGGCAGTAGTATCATCCTGCCTCACATGCGAGCCAGCGCGATACTGGCTCGCGACAGCAAAAATCCAGCTCCGTGGGCAAGTTCGCACGCATCTCAACTCGAGGCTTGTTGGCTTGCCGGGCCTGTTGCGTCCAAGTAGTTGAAGGCAAGCAGCCTCGCTCAATTGCAGCTGAAGCATCTTGTGCCATGTGCAAATTTCACTAGCTGACTATCGTAGCAGTTGGAACTGCCTTTTGTGCGAACTCCAGCTAATTCATCACAGATGCTGGATGAGGCCACAAACAAAGCCCAGCACCGCCCCAGATCCTCGGAAACTTCGAGAAATCGAGCATGAGACCAATCCGACACACCGCACCCAGCAACCGAGAAACGTGCGTTCAATGAAACGGAACTCTCGGTCTCCCATGGAAAGGAAAAAATGGTTCAAGAGCTCCTGGAACATTGGGAGAATGCAACAGTGAAAGCTCTGCCATCGTGTGCTCCCTTCGTTGCAGGTTCCGCAACTTCAACCTTCGCCTGTCTTGCACTGAGCTTTAAAGAGTGGAAGATCATGACACCTAAGCGTCGAGAAAACTGCTCATACGAGCACGGAGCAACCTTGGCTTCCGCATCTAAAGAAGCACCTCGGCCGCGGATCTAAAGAGCTGCGGATCAGCCGGAAGGCATTCGCGGGCGAATTAAACACAGAATTAACGAGTGTCCTGTAAGCGTTTCGAGCAGCGAGGTAACACCGAACATGATCTCATCCATCCATGCATCCATCCATCCATCCAGCAATCCGTCCAGCAATCCGTCCAGCAATCCGTCCAGCAATCCATCCAGCAATCCACCCATCCATGCATGCATACGTACATTCATCCAAGTGCCAGTGCGAGCATCCGAGCATCCATCCATCCATCCATCCATCCATCCATCCATCCATCCATCCATCCATCCATCCATCCATCCACACATCATTCCATAAGCCCTTCGGATGAACGATTCTATAAACCATTCTATACACTCTTCTAACTTCTAAACCTATACTGCCTAGACTTCCCTCTCAGCTCCAAAGCTCTGCAAAAATCTCTACAAACCCCTTCTATAACACCTTCTGTGACATAAATGAACTATAGAAACAGGTTTATACAATCCCCTCCTTCAAGCCCTTCTATGAACCCCTTCATGAACCCTCGATCAAAGTCCATGTATTGGCAAGGTTCAGGACAACAGCCAAAATGCTTGTCCCTAAGTACGGGCGGGATTCAAAGACATGATCAAACTGACCAAACTGCTTCCCCAAGTACTGGCGGGATTTACCAGCGCGGCCGAACTGCTGCCCTCCAAATACTGGCGGAATTCGAACAGGGGCTTGTAGAGCTTGGCTGTATCTTCGCAGCTCGAGATCCCGAGTTGAGTACTCCGCCGCCTGGTGCCCAGGACTACCGTCGCGCGGCTCCGCCTAACAGAGCCGGGGGTCGCGATTGCCGTGCCGAACCTGCCGAACCTTTCCCATTTTGTTTTGCCTGGTGCAGCCGGGGGCAGCCTTGCGATCCCAAGGCTTCGTGTTCCTCTCCTTCCTTTGCCTGCCTGCGCCGCTGGGCGGCGTTGTTGGACCTTGTGTTGTCGTGGTTAATCTTCCTATCTTCCGATCTTCTTATCTATCCATCTCTATATTCTCGCAAAGCATGCCTGTCTTTCAATCCCGCTGCGCTGGTGCTCGTTGAGTCGCACGGGGCACTCATGCTTAGGCCGCACTAGGGCTCGGGACTTGTAGCGTTTCCGTCTCGTTCTAACAGTTAAACACTTTAAAAAAAAAACGGGTGTGGCAAACAGACCAAGTGCGCAAACTTTGGCAACCAGCAATCTAGTCATCCAGGCCGCGAAAGCACCAGTGCACACACAGGCAGTTAATCAAAGTCGGCAGTTGGTGCATCACGCTTATTGCAAGGCTGTGCCAGTTGTGGAAGCATCGCGCTGCCTTGTGCTCGCTGAAAACAGCCACGATCATGCCGTCGTTGTCAAGACCTGCAGTCCACTGGTGTAAGTAACTACCCTCTGGCCCAAGTCATCAACCGGCCTATTACAGGATCACAAAGCTTTGTTGTGACTCTGTGCCACATGTCTGGAAAGCTTTCCTGCAAAGTCCGCACAGGACCGCCCTCAGTTGCGCCAAACCACCCACCTCGATTTTCTCCATTACGATTGACACCAGCTCGTTTTCCACGCTCGGAGGCAGGCGCCCATCTTTGGCCTGAAATCTGAGAAGGGTAAGTGTTTGGGAGGCGCGCATCTTGAGCTACGGGCAAGCATCGACGGGAAGTGGCGTCTTATCACACTTGCCATGGAAGCCTGAGCTTGCCATACTGTGAATCACTGTAATGTAGAGCTATAGTGTCAGTCACTCAGCAGCAGGCCCGCGCGACCCGCTCCAGCATGGGATGAATCTGGCAGAAAGCGGAGATCACAAGCATTACCCGCCAATGCTGCAGGTTCTGGGATTGAAAAAAGCCAAGGCACCTTCGCAAACAGCAAGCTCGTATCCACGCGAGCAAACCAGTCACTCGGCCCCATGAGATACGGCCTTGTTCAGGCTGTCAGGGTCAGGCTATGTCTCGACTATGTCAGGCTGCTAAGCAAACGCATCTCTCTGGCCTTGCACAACTAAACGCAATCCTGCCCATTTTCTCGGCTTTCCTGCCATTTTGGTCTTGAGGCAAGCCTACGCAGCAGAATACTCACAGAACAAGCATGCCTCGGAATGACTCCCTGCCAGCCAATGCCGATGCCGGTGTTAGCGTACCTGCAACTTGTGCGCAAGTGGAACAAGGTGAGCGGACTACTATCTGCAACGACACTGGCTCACTGCCAAATGCCAAAAAATCTGATTGGAAGGAACCTTATTTGAGACGCCGATCGAATAGAAATGAGCGAGGATGTCGCAAGCTCTTCAAGGGCCATGCATCATCTTGATGGCTAGCCATATGTGGAACCTTAGCTAAACAATTCAGTCTGACATCGAACCTTACATATTTCGCGAAACTTGGCGCATAGCCACGTGAAGAATAAAGCCACTACTGGAATGGATACCAGCAGGGCAGTCCGGTAGACCTGGAGCAACTGCTTCTCTTGGCGACTGAACTGACACCTCAAACGACTTGTTCGATTATGTCTGCTCTCTTTATCAATCTTGCAATGGTAGCTGGAGACTGCATGGCTCATGCTGTATCTACAGGCCGTAGCAAGTGGACGTGCAAACAGCTAGTCTCATGGGGTTGCTTGCTGCGTCGTATTGGCTCGCAATTGCGGCGATCTCTAACAGCTACTCTTTTTTGCCCCCAAAGCCCTGCACTCTTTGCAGCATGGTTGTGCTTCATAGGTAGAGGGTTGTTTAGGGCTTTGCAGGTTCAGGGCGTCGACGGTGTGCCAGTTGACAAATCCTTTCTTCAGCTCGTTTCTGGTTACAGGCTGTTGCTAAATGAGAACGGTGAGGTCAGCAAGATCGAGCAAACCACTTCGAGCTTAACCACCCAGTCCTCGTGTTGATGTTCTGGTGGAAGCTGGTCATAGTACCAGGCCCAAAGCAACAGGCCACCAATCAAGAAGAACACGATGGCCAGCACATTCCTTCACGTCTTCAATTCCCTAACATGCCCCGACAGTGCTCACCAAGACGGCGGCAGTTGGAGTTTCAGCCATTCCATCTTCCGCTCAATTCCAGCCATTGCCTCGGTCTGTGGCCAATGCAAACAGGCGACATTTCCCCGAGAAGAGTTGCTGGCAGCATCGTGGCGTTCAGCAGACGCAGACTTCAAAGGCGAAGTTTCGCCATCCTGGCATGTAGCCGCGGCAGGAAGGGCGGCGCGGCGGCAGGGGCGGGGATGCAGCTCTCTCTTGGGCGTCTTCCAAGCGGACATAAGCTTCCAAGGGGTCACCTTAGAGCTGACACGCGACGACTACGTATGCAGCGAATGAACCGCAGGCAATGTTGCCTGAGTGTGCTCCCATCCTCAGCCACGGATCTACTAGTGGTTCCTAACCCATCGACTTGGATGAAGTCTGACAGTGACTCACCTGCACGGATTGGTCCGCTACTGCGAGTAAGTAGTTTACAGTACACTTCGTTGTGAAGGCACTGCGAAAAGCTAAGTGAGACACATCTAGTAACCTAGCACAGCAGATCTCAGCTGAACCGCAGAACTTCCAACTCCAAGTCAGAGCCAATCTGAAGCTAACTCACTACACTGTACCTCACTACATGCTGCTGCACCATGCACCGTTTGGCAGGTTTATGCAGGTTGAGCCAACCGGAGCAAGCGACAAAGACGCTTCGTGAGGTGGAAATACCGTTGCTCCGCTGATACGAATGGGTGGGTTCTCCTCAGCCTCACCATTGCCAGAAGGAATCATGCCTGCATTTTGACAGTGTCACCATGCGGCTCCCGAACCTTTGGAGCAGCATGTGAAATGGGGAATGGGCAATGGATTCAATCTGTTCTGTACCTCTGAAGCTCAAGCCCTAGCGGCTGGCTTGTGAAAGAGGACAGCTAACTCGACAGGATGCAAGCAACGCTCAAAGTGAAACCCATCTCTAAAGCTGTAGCTTGGCAATAGACAGAACCAGTCTCAGCTGCATGGAAAGAAGCGGTACTTGCCATGACTGCGGGCTTCGGAAGCCGAAAGCGTTGTGGCACGCGAGTAATCTTCAGCCTGAGTAACTGAGGCAGCCGAACACAACAGCTCGTCTTATGGGAAAGCACGAGCATGAGCCACCGAACGCAGCACCGAACAGCCAGTCAACAAGCAGAGTTCCAGACACAAGATCCTACGGTCCTATGGCAAGGACGACAAGGGAATGCATGGAAAGCTTCCGACTGCAACGTTTTCCCTTTCCGAGAACCGGGCAGAAGGCGATGTCTTTTCTGCGGTGTGTACGTTTGCTCGTGTCTTGTATGATGTCTAAGCCTCTCGTTACCAAAGTGCGAGTCCGCTCTTGGAGCTACGACGCTTCAGGCCGGTCGTAGAGAATTTCTCTACTTGACTGCCACTGGCACACAGACGCCACAGTTGACACTGCAGCAAGCTCCTTGTTGACCTGTGAAACACGGCGGCAGCTCAAGCAGCTCCCGACCCGTTTCTTACCAGATCTTCTAATCTGGAAATCTCGTCCATCTCCTGCTGAATCTCCTGCGTGGTTCAGTGCACCAGCACGTTCTGAGCACAAGGATAGCCTAGCTCTCTCGTTGGATTCCAAAGGCCTTGGAACGCCGGCGCCGTTCGTCAGCCTTGGTGCACGGCTGGGCATGCTAGTCATTGCCATGGTTTTGTAGCCCGCCACGCGAACTGCTGTTGCTGAGGCTGCCTGCAACATGAGAATGCACATGAACGGGGGGATGGATCAACAGACACTTAGATTTGGATCAAAAACAAACCCTAAGAAACAAAAACAACATAGACATCTTGATCAAAACAACATTATCATTAAAGTAGTGCTTATAGGCCAGGTCGAGCAAAAAACAAGGGTGACAAATCAAACAACTAAACTGGTATCAACAAAATGAACACAGGGATTAGTAGTAGCAGCAGTAGTAGTAGTAGCAGCAGCAGCAGCAGCAGTAGTAGTGGCAGCAGTAGTAGCAGTAGCAGCAGCAGGAGGAGGAGGAGTAGTCGTGCTGGCACTATCACGAATACCAGTACTTGCCTGGGAAACTCCAGTTTGTAGAGTTCTGTCTTGCCGCAATTGATTCGGGAATTGCAATTCGGGCCTTATGCTGCTGCAAACTATCGGAAATCGCAGTCATTAAGGCTGTTTTGCGGCAAGCAACTGGGGGCTCGCAATTTCCACAGCTGGCGAGGGAGGGTGCAGCCACCCCTCGTTTGCAAACACAAGGCCTAAGCCCGGTATGATGGGTTCTGAAAAGGTTCAATCAGGTTTACTTCCTGATGGTACGATGCTCGTTAAAGCAAGCTTGCACAGGTAAAGTTCTGAAACCATTGCAATATAAAATGCTTATACGATGGGCTTTTTCCACGGTTCCATAACAGTTTGGTGCTTGACCCAAGTCGTCTTGATGGCACGATGTTCTTGAAAGCATGCTTGTACGGCTTCATAAAGCGGGGGGTTGGGGGGGGAGGCTCCCCCCACGGCTGAAGTTCCAAAACCATTGAATAAACAATGCCTATACGATACGATGGATTTTGCAACAGTTCCATAGCAGTTCTGTGCTTGACGCAAGTCTGTTTGATGGCGCGATGTTCTTGAGTGCTTAAAAGCTGGGGCTCCCAGTTGCAAGCACAAGGGCTACTGATACTTGTACTCGTACTATAGATACTACCACCGCCACTACTTACTACTCCTACTACTTACTACTACCAGCACCACCACCACCACCGCTACCACCACCACCACCACCACCACCACCACCACTACTACTACTCCTGCTGCTGCCTGCTACTGCTGCTGCTACTGCTACTGCTACTGCTACAACTGCCACTACTGCTACTACTGCTGCNNNNACTACTACCACTACTACTGCTCCTACTCCTACTGCTGCTGCTGCTCCTGCTCCTGCTACTGCTGCTGCTACTGCTAGTGCTACTGCTCCTGCTGCTGCTGCTGCTGCTACTGCTACTGCTACTGCTGCTGCTACTGCTGCGGCTGCCACTACTACTACCACCTTGTGTCGTTCTGTCATATGTTCTGTCCTTCAGTCCTCTGCTTTTCTGTCGTTGGTTTGTTCTTGCGTGTCTTTCTGTCTTGCGTTTTCTCTCTCGCTGCCTGCCGTTCTGTCTGACCTTCGTTATTTCATTGAATGTGTATATATGATAAATATACATGTCATACCGACAAAGCAGTCACGAGGCCGGAAAGCCAAGAAGCCAGGAAGCCAAGACACGAAGCCAACAGACCAAAGAAACTAACCTCCCTGTGTCCTTCCTTTTCCTTCCTTGCTTCCTTCCTTCCTTTCTTCCTCGTTTTCTTCCTTCTTCATTCCTTCCTTTCTTTCTTCTCCTTCCTTCCTTCCTTCCTTGCTTCCTCCCTTCTTCCTTCCGTCCTTTCCTCCTTCTTGTCTTCCTTCTGTTCTTTCTTCCTACCTTCCTTTCTCCTTCCTTCCTTTGTTCCTCCTTCCCCGGTTTCTGCTGGTTTAATTAATGTTCATCCAAATTTTATTTTATGATCCAAATTAATTTGTTTGTTGATATTTATTCCAAAGGAATGCCCTCGGCCGAGCATGTACTGTAGCGCCGCTCCAGAACAATATCTGCTCGTCAGGTCTTGTTTCTTGTGGCATCATCTCTCCATGCCCGGCCATTCGACCAGTCGTGTCTCTGTGGTCCAGTGCTGCCTGCGGCACCTTGCATGCATGTGCTCCCAGAATCAGTTTTGGTCTTTCCATCGCCGCCATGGCCGCGCTTCAAACTTCTCGCTGTCGCTCTGATGTGCAAGAGCAGAGACGCGGGGTCCCTCATGTAGATTATTGAACGGGCAACCTCACCCTCCCCATCTTGCATGCGATGTTTCATGGGGATCATTCTGTCCGAGGGTGTCCTAGTGTAGGTCCGAAGCGCAAACTGTGTTCGCGATCTGCTGGAACAGGGAGTTTATACATACGGCTGTGGCACCACAACAGACAGCAAACCATGGCATGTTAAGCTCTGACAGTGGCCACCTCCAACTAAGGCTTGAACCAGCTGCGCTGTTAGGACCGCAAGTCGGGTCTTCGGATGGTGAGCTTCGGCCTGCTGCAAGGAAGACCACTAGAGACCAAGCAAATCTAAACCTGTGCTTCTGGCCCCGCCAGGTAAAACCACCCGACACAAAATCTCAAGAGCTCAGCTCTCACGTCCGACGATGTCCTACAGCACTGGCCGATTCGGACCCGCCACAAGCAGAGATCTTATATACGTACTGTCGGAGATTATAGAGAACTACAGTGCGTCCCGCTCATGTAGGGCACATTTAGCGTGCAGGGCACCACGCTTGCAAGGTATGATTGTGTGAAGCTCGGCACCTCATCATGCCACCGCCTGAGAACCTGGATGGCAATAGCCTGCCGGCATGCTTCCTGAGGGTGGTCGAGAAGTTCTGCAGCTGACTTGACAAATTGGACGGCTTTAGCTGCCTAGCCGTCTCATGGCATTGCAAGCACTTTCCGTCTGAACCTAAATTCTGTCCACGAAAATCTTCCTCAACTGCACTCGACTCCTTCTGCAAGCAACCCAATTCCGTGACCTCCTGCAACGAGCTGAAGCTTGGGGATAGGATGCAAATTAGGTCAGGCCATGTTTGGCCTGCTGGCCGCTTTCTCGCAAGTCGGCAGACGTCTTGAGCACCTCCGGCATCTCCGGCCAACATGGCGACACTGCCAAGCAAGCACGGCTTGACCTCCCGTGCGCTGACCATCCCAGCTTCGACGTCCTTGATGTGCAGGAGAACATGGCAGCAAGAGCCATGGGCAAATCGTCGACTGTCTAGAACACGCTTGAAGGCATCTGACACTTGCCTGCCAAACATCAGCAACCTCGAGCTCTCGCCGCCGATGGGCAAGGGCCAAGCCTACAGAATGCATGCTGTCCCTTAATGCAATTCATGTCAACCACCTCCAAGCTTCAGCACAACAACAAGCAACAGGCGACATGTCAAAACCCCAAAGCTGCGAAAGCCGTTTCTTGACTTGTCCCTCGCGTCGTTGTCCCAGGGCCTTCGATTCTTTGTTCAAGTGCATTGCACCTGTGTGACTCCAAGACTTGCTGCCCGAACTTGATCAGCACTTCAGAATCTACTTCGCGACACCGACAGCTGAGGCCCCAAGCTCAGCGGCGGCAATGCGAATCTTCGTCTGGACATGCTCTGTTCGCCGCTGCACATCCTCGCTGACACGCAGAGTTCCCTCTTCTATCCCTACCTCGCCTCCTACCTGCCTCCTCATCCTTCGGCCCCTCGCTCTCTCTCTTGCTCTGCATCTTGGCAACGAGACCCCGCTTTCTCTAGGTTTGCGCCTTGAACGGTTCGTCAGTGAACATTCGGACCCGCAAGTGCAAGCCCTGCTAGGAGCCCTTGCACCCCCCAGCGAGCCCATGCACTGGTTCCTGAGCTTGTCACACCTCCTCTTCTACGACAGCACTCACTTCTATCCCTCGCACGCAGCCTTTCTCTCCACAGGTTGGAGAGCTGGAGAGTTACCCCGACTCCCCCTGCTTCGCCGGCCCATCTCCGTGACCCGGAAGGAGCAAAATTGGTGCTCTCCTGCGTCGAGACTTCTGACAATCCTTCGCGTCGCATTTCGTACAGGCCAGGAAACTTCATTCCAGAGCATTCAAAAATGGAGTCGAAAGGAGCGAATCAAAATTCGGATCGGCCTTGTGTTTGTTCCAAGTTTCCTGGTACTTGGTGCAACAGTGCAAGAGAACGTTCCCCATACCCGACTCGGGACGACGCGAGGCTCCGATTCAACGGACCGGTTTTCCGGCAAAATGGGAGCGTACAGCATGACGCTTTCGCGAAGGAGCGATGCCCACGGCCTTAAGTCACAGTGCCGCGAGGAGCAGGGGACATCCTGTGAATCTGTGTCTAGGCTCGCCGGAAGGAAGGAAGCGACAGCAACTATGTTGGCTCAGGGTGCTTATCACCGACGCAATGCGCGAGGACGCAGCAATGAAGGAGCGAAGCAGCATTGTGGGTGACCCGACACCAACGAGGCATGAGGCAAGCCTTGCACAGGACAAAATATCAGATGCAAGGCGCAGGCCACAACACTTTTCGGGGGAAGCTGTCTCACGATCCTTCCGCAGAGGGGGACAGCCCAAGAAGACATGCACAGAGTAAACTAGATTTGCCATTCTATTGCTTTTGAGTCTTGCTCGTCTTTTAATGTTGGACTTGGGAGTTTATCTTTATCAGATCGTCCAACTCTTGAAAGAAATTGAACACCTCATGTTCTGGAGCAGCGACCAAGGCCAGGGAAGTCTTGTTTTGAATTTGCGTGTTGCACACGACTGGTCGCGTCTGGGGCTCAATTTCTGAAGCCCATGATTCCTGGCCTTGGCAAGCTGGGAGTTGAAGGGTGGCAATGAGTTTGGTTTTTCCCCCTCTTTGGGTTCTTTCCCCCAAGCATGGGATTTTTGCTCCATCTGGCTTATTATTTCTACCAGTTCCGAACACTGTGTCGGACTCCTTGGCCCTCGTCCCTAGGGTGTTGTTTTCACCCGTCTTCCCTTGCTGGGTCTGATTTGGACCTGTTCCGTCGTTTTGGGTGTCATTGGCGGGATGGCGATTCACGGCCCTCGCTGTGGCACGGCGCACGTTTCGCCCAAACGAGCCAATGGTTACATCGGGACTTGATAACGCCTTAACTAGGGCTTTATCAACGCTTTATCAACCAAGGCTTTTGATTAGCATTTAAAGAAGCTTACAGGGTTCAATAATAGGAGTTGAACAGCGGCTTACGCAAGCTCCATAAGGGCTGAATGAGGCAACGGGACAAACAAGAGCTAAAGACTCGACAAAAGCTTAACAAGCGCTTAACAACAGTGCGATCATGTTTCGCAGATCACGTGCTTTTTCCTGCTTCCTGAAATGGCTCGTCTGGAAATGCTCCTTTGTGGTATTCTTCTGTACCCCCTGCTTTCAGCAATAGTGCGTTGGGTCAATCCCGGGCAGGAGTCCCCGACCTGGGCTGTGATCAGGATCAGGTCTGTTTCCAGGGGCAAACCCAGGGAAGACATCCCCTCTCCTCATTCCTCGCTGCTTAGCAGAGAACAATGAGGTGAAAGGTGCAAGGGTGAGGGTTGGGGCCCAACTCCACCCAAGATACCGAACCTCGGTGGACGGGAAGGAAAGGAGCTAAGTCCGCCTGGGCAGGCCAGGGTTCCTGCAGCTGTCTGCTGCCCCCCATGTTGGCCTGTGAGCCAAACGGACGAACAGGTGTCTGCAGGAAAAAATAGCGGTTTTTTAAAAACACCGAACCGAGACATGGCAATACTCTTAGCAGAGCGCGTGCTTGTTTTCCCGCTTTTCAATATGGCTTGTCTGGACATGCTCCTCTGGTATTCCTCTGCACCCCTGCGTTCAGCAGTAGAGCGTTGCCCTTTCCGGGCAGGGAATCCCCCGGCAAGGGATGTGATCAGATCAGCTCTGCTCCTCGGAGCTTCCAGAGGTAAACCGAGGGAAGGCATCCCAACAAACTCCCAACACTCAACACAACACACTTCACAAGTACGAAAAAATACGAGCGAGGATAAGATGCGGCAGGCTCCACAGAACGGCCGTAATAGACCGGAACGGAGTGTCGGCGATCACGAAAACAATCTCTGGAGATACCATCGCTCCAGTTGCTATCGGATTGGACCCATGAGATTTTGGCGTGGGTCTGCAGTCCAAAAATCATGTTGTAAGCCATCCCCGCCATGTAACTTACTTCAAAGGAATTGGGTCGACCCCTAATGAGGCTCATCAGGGTGGCAGGTGGTCCACAAACCAAACCACACTGGAACCTCGCAGCTCGGAGGCTGAATGACTGCCAGCATTTCCGCTGGGCTATTTTGGCACTCGCGCCATCCCAAAGCCGGAAGACTGAGTTGTCTGCAGGATCGAGCCCCCGATTTATTTGCCGTCTGCCGCGACTGCCAAAGCACCCGCTCCTCCTGACCGGAGAGCTTCCTGGGCCGCACACGCGGGGCAGAATCTGGGAGAAGATCCGCGTTGTCCGGCGTGGTCGGAGGGCAAGGATGCCCGAAATCATGCGGAAGGAAGGAAGCAAGTCAGGGGCAAGACTATGTTCACCCCGATGAGTACTGGCGATCCTGCAAGGCAGGCATCCCGACCCTCACAAGCAGCATGCGAAAGGAAGCCCACGCAACCATACAGTTTGCTCGCTGTGCCCGGGGCGATGCCTGCCAGCTGCTGCGCAGCGTCCTTGGATCTTAACACTCAGCTTCTGGCGAACCCAGAATCGGACGCATCCCGCAAAAGTCCAAGAAAGTCCGCCTCAACGGATACTGGCTTCCTGCGGCAGCATCATCAATGATGCTTCTTGCCACTGCTTTGTGGACTCACAAAACCCTTGATACTAGACTGATGTCAGCCTTCCACCCGGACTGCAGAATCCGCGCTGCTCGTCTTGGTGTCCCGCTTGGACTGAGACGCCATCATCGGGGCTTGCAGGAGGGAGACGCCCTCTTCTTTGCCATCCCTCAAGACGTCGGCCAGACGTCTGAACAGGGCAGGCTGCGTGGTAAAGTCTCTGACAAGGCCATGAGCCCGAAAAATCTTGTCGGTAAGTCGCAGGCACTGGGAGGAATGCCCCGGCCCTTGCTCTGCCGTCTAACTATAGGGGTGGCTGAACCAAAGATCACCATCATGATCAACCTGGGCTTCGAAGGGGGGCCCCGCATCTTTGCAGCATACGGCCTCCCGGAAGTGGTCGGCTAATGCTGCTAAGGTTATGTTATATGCCACCAGGCAGATTCTGTTCCTTAAGCTGACGGCACAGAAGACCTAAAGTGACTGGAAGAGGGCCGGTTGTGCCATGCTCTCTCCGAGACTCCGAGCATTGAGCAAGGCCTTGTGAAGGCCTTTTCCAGGTACGGGACAGCACCACCATGCCCAAATGGGCGCTCCTAGGAGACCGAAACCTCCTATCAAAACCATGCCCCGAGTGGGCAGTGCTCCCCTCAATGGCTTCTTTTTTGGCTGGACTTTGTTTCATTGACACACTTCGCGTTACCGGTTGCAAGGCGGCATGCTTGGCACACTCAGCCGCATCAGCAAAGCCGCCTGGCTGGCCATGTCCCAAGTCTCCACTCGCCGTGCCTCCACCTCACATCTCCACGGCCGGCCATAACTCTAACAGCCCGCACCTGGACCCGACAGGGCCGCCGAAGAAATGGAGCTAAGTCCAGCCCGGGGTTCTTGCAGCTGTTTGAGCCAGGCGGACAAACCAATAGCATGTTGCCAAACCCACCGAATCGAGACATGGCAAATGATGGCAATAGGTTCGTACGGTTTCGAAACGGGCAATTTGGCTTCATGCGGCTTAGAGGGTTCATACAAGCTTAATCAGGGTATAACGAGCTTGCTAGACCAAGAGATTTGCGTTGAGAAACCGACGATGTCACTGTCCTTAAAACAAAAATATCAAAACACTTAGCGTCGTTGTTTCCTTCCCCGGGGACGTGTCCAGCTCTCCCTGGATTGGCGCGTCAAGCGCTCCCCTTCCCCTCCGCCGCTTGAATTCAGAAAGCAGAGGATGTTGGGATCTGCGGAAACTGATCGACACACCTGGAGACGTGAATTTTCGAAATTTGCACAGTCATGATGGCCTTGAGGCCTGTTATCGTTCCTTACTTGGCTCTCCCCTTTTGCATAAAGTGTGGTTGACCTTAGACAGATCTTCGATAAGGGCCAAAGCCTGCCCATCACTATGATGTTCTTACAATTCTTGGGGTCATCTCAAGCAGAATTAATGCTTTGCCTAGGGGGTTAGGGCGAAATAGACATCATACATATCGCAATCAGCATACCACAGACCATTGCCCTGTTAGCAAATCCCCTCGAGTTGGTTGCGCCATCAAAGTCCAGATGAAACGCTGTGACCAAACGGTGCACAACTCGCTCTCCTCTCCACTTCGCACCATGTACCTGTCCCTCTGTCTCACCCTTGCAAAGCCCTCTCAATGCAGAGAGGCACTGTTTCCTGGCATAGCTAAAGCAAGCGGCCTCCAGGGCTTCCTGGAGCTGCTTGACGGGCTTGACCTTCTTGCAAAGCTCCGTGCTGGAAGATCTGGGGAGCTCAGGCTGAGCTCAGGCTCCAACCGTTGAGCCGTCTGGTTGCACGTCCGACTCCTACGATGGCACACAATGCTTGCTCCC